TGTCAGATGAGCCAACTTCCACACTGGGAAATGTAACACTTATCTAATTATTCAGTGATTTATTTCTTTTTTCCACTCCACACATAGTAAATTCTCCCCAGCAGTCTTTTCCAACTCAAATTTACGGCTTGTAAGCCGAGTGCGTAATAACCCTTTAATGACTGATGTTTGCAAAGGTCCGGTTAACAAACCTCTCCCAAAGACACACGGTGAGGAAGGACAACACACTCACAAACCGCACCAAGACAAAGCAGGAACAATTTACACCACCAGAGCGAACAGCCAGTGCACTAAATATTCGGCCCTATTAACTGATGCATAAAACAACTCCTCCTGTTCACAGCAAGGTTCTGCTTCTCGACTTGGCCTTAAGCAACGGTACAACATTTGCATGCGATGCATTATTTTTATATTATGATGTATTGTAGTGTTCTAGAACACTGGCTTCAGCTGTCAACAAGCAGAGGGAGTAGGCACTTCATCCTGATTACAACATAAAGGGGAAGCTTTCATACTGATGAGAAGCACAAGGTGGGGAGTGCTTTGGGGAGTGCTTCTCAGTTTACTGAAGGTGCAACGCTAGGTCTTATGAACTGAAGGGAAAAGGATGAAACATCCAAATCTGTACTGCTGTCATCTTCTTTCATCACAGAAAAAAAAATCCATTATTGAATTTTATCTAGCACCTACAATGCACCTGACCTCACAGCCCAGCACAGACCCTGTTCATCAGTCAGTTTTAAACGTGGCCTGACACTGTGGTAGAGACCTAAGTACTAACACATTGCCAGCTCATGAGCAATAAATTGTGTAATACAGAAAAAAGTTTTCTTTGTTTCCCTCAACACATTCCCACTAAGCATTTTGTGTCATATGTTTCATTAATACTTATCATAAAATAAAGAGGCAAAGACCACTTGTTGAATGCTAAATCATTCTATGGGATATTCCATCTTTGTCACCATATGATATTCATCCAGAAAAAAATGTATTAAATTAAATGGAATCATCTCAAAGCATCAGAAAGTCACAGCTGTGCTAGTGCTCAGTTACAGCCACTTCGTCCCCTCTGCAGGTTCCCTGTTCAGTTCCAAAAACGTTCTAGAATGAAGATCCCACAAAACTGACATCCCAATCACCTTTGGGTTTTGTTTCTTAACCTATCCTAGAAAGCTGGGACATCACGAATTCACTGTTACTGTGAATAAGGTGAGTTTGTGTGTTCTTGGTCTGGTCAAGACCCACACAAGTAAGATCACATTTGAGAAGTCCAAACCCAGCCTACACTAAAGGTGTCCTGGGCCAATTCTGGCAACAGATCTTGAGGGCCGGGGATAGATTTAACATTGAGCTATTTTTACCTTTAAATTCCACCTTCTCGATTTGCAGCAACACACACCCCATGGCTTTCACTGTTACCAAAAGCAGTGTAATGATTATAAAATAATCCACAGCAATATTTTCGTATGATTTAAAAGGTCACAGAAATCCGTACATCAGAATGAGCTGTCTAAGTAAGGTGCTGCCTGCCTTACCTGGATAGAGCTGTTTGAACCTATACCAGCTGAAAGATGATTTTAATGTACTAACAGTCCTAAGGCATGAATCAGATTAATAATCAGAAGTGAAATATCATGTTCTACCTCGTCCAGTGACTCAAACCACAGAAGTGAACTTTTATTGTACACTAACATTCACAAAATTTGATCTCAGGCTGCTTACTTGCTGACTTACTCCTAACCTCAATAAATTAAAACAGAAATGGAAAAGCGTGCCTCTATTTTGAGACCTTTACAAAGGCAGCAAAACAATTTCATACACTTGTAAGCAAGAACTTCAATAAAGGATATCAAGTTAGAATATCCATACCTTTTTGTAACATCTGATATGATTGCTAGTCAGGCACCTCTGAAGCACATGAGATGCAAACTCTAAATGCTGTCTGCTGATCCTCCAAGGCTCATCAAATCAACTAGTGTTGATTTTCAATTAGATGTTGCAAAAGCACATCTTATGACTGATGTAAAGATTTGGAGAATGTTTTTCGAAAAAGGACCACCATCCAAGACCAACTTAAATACAAGTTACTCACAGATGCAAAATTGACTTCTTTGATTTAAAGAAGACCAACTGAGTTTCCATAACAATGCTAGAAAGCTTTGAATTGAAAATTTCAAGCGCTGCTACTTCACTACACAACTGTAAAGTACCTTTTTTAAAAAGGCATTTACTCACAAGGAACCAATTCCAAACTACCATAATCTCCACTAAACTAAGGCTACAGACGATTATGTGCACAAGTCAGGAGAACAGACCCCAACAAGAGGCAGAAGATGTGCCACCTTCCAAACTAGCTGCTTTTAATTGTCTCATGTTTCAACTCTTCCTGTCTGGTCCCAGACAAATCCAAATAGCTCCAGATTTGGAAAGCTAAACAAAATACATCAGATTAGGAAATACAGAAGGAAAAAAACCTCCAGGATTAATGTGGCTGAAGACCACCAGACAAGAACCACAAGTCAAATTCTCAGTGCTCTCTGAGTCTCTGAAAGCATTATCATGTAGCTTATCTACTGCCTCTTAGTCTCATACCTTTTAAGAACAGTTTTTCCCTTGCTACATTTGTACGACACTCTGAAACTTCCTTGTTTTGTGACTCTCCTTTGGTATTCCTGATGGTTCCACAACCATGAGAAACCCCAAGTATCACAGAGGCAGAAGAAATCACTCATCACTCCAAAATGCTATCGATGGCTGAAACATCTAGGAACGCAAGGTACTAGAAAAACAGGATCCTAATCTGCCAGTCACCAAGGGGAAATACACAATGCGTTAACCACCATGGGATACACTTTTTCAGACTCCCTCCTAATTGCATGGAATAAAATTCAGCAGAGAGGCATTACAGCCCTTATTTTTGCTGTTTGAGTCGAGTAGTTTAAAAAATAATAATAACCAACCAAGAAGAGTTTCATCAGACACTGATGAATTCTAAACCTTGACAAGAGCTCCTTACAGTAAGTCCTACCGTCTTTTTAATTTAAGTCACTGTTTGCATAAACGCATACTACCACATTTTGCTGATACCCTAAAGGTCAGCAAATTCATTACGAGCCACACTGTGAGGCAAGAAAACCCGCAGAACTATTTGTTCTGTTCAGATGTTTAGACTTAAACTGGATCTCTGTTACACATACATCAACAGTAGGACAATAATAATAATGGGTAATAATAATTCTCCCAGTAAGATAACTTTGAATTACCAGCTACATTGAAAAAAAACACACACTTTTTTTTTTAACCAAGGTCATATGATTTTCCTACACTTACGATTAAGTTACAGTTATTGAGTCATACACCCTCTTAGTAACCAATTATTTTTAAAAGATAACACTCGGAATTCCCTTCTGCCACTACTGCACTCCTCGATGCAACACCACTTCAGAACTGAATTACTGCTTGTGGCCTACAGACCTTTTTGTACACCTCAGAACAACAAGCAGCTGGAAAATATTGACTGAGAAAGCACTCGATGCTCTTTTAATAGGCATCTCTTTCTATAAGGTATTGAGGTAATGATATACTAAGAGTGTTTTCCATGGTATATTAAGACTGCAGTCTCATTATGCTTCAGATTTTGGTTTTGCTTCGTCTGCTCTACAGAAATTGTCCTAATTATATGCATTAGCCTGAAAGCAAAGTTTATGCTTAAAGAATAGGCATTTTGCGCTCTAAATACCTGAACACACAGCACAATCAGGATTACTGATCGACAACGGCTTCCTATTGACAATTTGTAAATCTAGTATTTACTCTGTGTTCCCTGTAACCAGCAGTTCCGTATCACATAAATACAGCCTGCTTCCAGCTTGAAGACAACTCAATGTTTGCAAGCTCCAAATTAGACGCAGTAGCTAAAAAAAAAAGGCATTTTCCTCCGACCTGTTCTCTCAAGAATAATGCAGTACATTGAAATTTGAGTGCAGACCTGGCAGCATTTTAACAACACGAGTGAAAAAAAATAAATAAATAACTTCCCGCTACGGTGTTGGCTGTATCGATGAATGTGCAATTTATAAATTGAACCTATCAATAAATTAAGGTGTGCGATCCAACAGAATTCGGGTTTTAATGGATTTGATGGACTGATAAAACAGGTACAGCTTGTTAAAAATCCCTTTGATGCACCAGGCTCCAGTTTTATTTCTATAAGCCAGGCCAGCCAAAGGTATTTTGGGGAAATACAGCGTTCGGATTAAACGTAGACATAACCTTCTTCTTGCCCACTTCAAGATTTTTGCATCATAAACTCTGCTCGGAGGGAAGGGGGGGGGGGGGGGGGATGATGAAAAACGAGCCTACACGAAAACAGAGCGTGAAACAGAGACGGGGGATTATGCAAGTAGGCGCGCTGACACCGAGCGCAGGATCTCAAGCCCTGGTCACACTGACAGGTTTGAGGAGGGGAAATAAAAAATAAATAAAAACCGAACATCACCGGTTGTAAAACTGGAGCATTCGCTGAGTATAACAAATAAACTGAGGGGATAGTGTTTATAATGGGGGGGGGGGGGGTTCATGACACCACAAACTTGCAGCAGGCAGGCACCTCTTCCCTTCCCCTTCCCTTCCCCTTCCCTTCCCTTCCCCTTCCCCTCCCTTCCCTCCCGCAGCGCCCAGGCCCGGCAGAGGGCAGGCGGGGCCCTGTCCCCGCGGCGCCACGCCGCAAGATGGCCCCGGCGCGGCCGCGGGCTGCCCCCCGCCGGGACACCCCCACGGCGGGGCCGCGCCGCGCCGGGCTCGCAAGATGGCGGCGGCCGGGCCCGTTGGACGCCTCAGCGGCGCCCCCCGGCCCTCCCCCACCCCCCCCTTCACCCTCCCCTTCCCCTTCCCCTCCCCGCGTCCCGGGGGCTCCCGGCGGAGCGGAGCGGGACGCCCGGAGAGCTGGGGCTGCGCTGGGTTGTGTTGTGCTGGGCTCGCTGCCCCCGTCCGCCCCTCACCTTTGAATTTGAGGTCGGTGGGCGGATCGAGCACCAGGATCTGCTCGTGCTTCGCCACAGCCCCGGCGGCCGCCATCTCGCTCGCTCGCTGCGGCGGGGGGAGGAGGAGGAGGAGGAGGAGGAGGAGGAGGGCGAGGAGGAGGAGGAGCGGTGGCAGCAGCAGCAGCAGCAGCGGGAGGAGGAGGAGGAGGAGAGGCGGCGGCGCCGCTCCCTGTCGGGGGCTCGGAGCGCAGCGCAGCCCCAGCAGCCGCTCGCCGCCCTCCCGGCGCAACGGCACGAGGGCGACGGCGGCGGAGGCGGCGGGGCCGCTGCGCGCATGCGCCCGGCCGCTCCTTCGCCTCCCTCGCCGCCCGCCCACTGACAGCTGCGGGCCCGTCGCAGGGGCGCTGGGGAGAAACGGGGACTACAGCTCCCAGCATGCCGCGCGGAGGGAGGGGGCGGCGGGGCATGCTGGGGGGTGTAGTCTTTTCAGAGAGCCCCGTTCTCCAAATGGGAGAAACCAGAAAATCGCTTTGGTTCCCTTTGGAAATGAGGGGTGGGCGAATTGGGCAGAAGGTCTGAAAATCTGGTGGGGCTGGGCTCTTCAAAGCTCACTCCTGGTCCCCACCTCAGGATCACTGCTGGCCAGCACCAGGGTGGCTCCACCACGCTGGGAGTCCCCTTTAGCGCTGGCAACACCCAGCCCAGGACGTTGCCAAAATCTACCATAAAGCAGGAACACTGTCTTTGGCTGAAAGACATCGTTTTGAAGGCTTGGGGATAGTAATATGGGCTCTATGGCAAGAGACATTGAGCTCATGGAACAAGGGATTTTTAACCATCCTCCTTGCCCTTTTTGTCAGGCACCGTTTTCATCATAGGTCTTTTCATTAATACTGTATTTTCAAGTGGATGTCATATACTCAGGTATTAGTATACACCAGTGACAAAAATAAAAAATAATAAAAAATAAAAAAAATAAAAGAGAGAGAAAACATCCAAATCCACAAATCCATCCTAAACTTGATGATTCCTACCCCTACATCTAACTTCAGAAAAATCTGGCCCTAAGATATGTAATCAAGCTTGTATTCGTGCAAGGTTGGAGTACAGGTGATGGAAATGAAGTCAGAAGGAGTAACATGTTTATTTTTCTTCTCTTGCAATCTGGTGGAGGTGTGCTATGAACACGTATGGGGACGTAAAAGCCTGTTTGATAAATATGCCCCAAGAGTAAATAAATCAAAATGACTGGAGTGCTTTACTTGCAAAACCAGCTCACCACAGTATGAGTTATGGATCACATCATGTCCTTGGTGAATAACTCTACCACATCTACAAGCACAGAGAATGGTTTTGAGGCCATTAAGTAGGGGAGGTCCCTGAGTAATTTAGGTTCGGGTTCTGCCTTGGCTCCAGCAGGGCCTTTACCCTCCATTTCAGCCGTCTGCCTCTGCTCCGGGCCTGCCACTGCCAGGCCTGCCGCCTTAATTCCTTCTGCGCTTTCCTCCGTGTCCCTCTTGCCAAGAGCAAATACCAATGTGAGTTTTAATACCATCACCCTCTGAAGAAGAAATAAGTGAGACGTGCTGGAGAAAAGCACTTCAGAGTACTTTTACGTAACTGGAATTGGCTTCAGTAGGTGCAGTTATGTGGCATATACATGTAAACGTTGCTAGAGGTCTGCAACTGCAGTTTTCCAGCTACATGCTTATTTTATGACACCCATAAAACAACATCTTCAACTGTGTCCTTTCTTTTATTTACAGTGGATTATTTAGAGTTATTGTCTGATGCTCTGTTGGGCTTGGTTATCAAAACTAATGTTCCTTCTGTTTATACATTCTTACCTTGGGATCCGGAAGATAAACTGGGAAACGAAGGGGTTTTTAATATATCGTAGTATATTGTTCTTCTTCTGTTAATGTGGGCACTTACTGTATTACCTCCACTCTTTCTTCATTTCTCTTCATGAATCCACCAAAGATTAAGCCACGGCATACATTCTCAGAAGTGATAATTCAGCTCCAGGATCACTTGATAACTATATACAAGAATTTCTGGGTCTCAGCTTTCAACGAATGAAGACACGAGGAACTGCTGTGAAACTCCAAATGCCACCAAAGGTTCTGTCCTCTCTCCTTCTAATGGACTATAAAAAATAACAGTAAGAAGCACAAATTCAAGAGAAGCTTCATCTACCCAGATTTAGAAGGCAGTTGTTTTTCTAATTTTTTTATACGTTCCTTATATAAGAGCCTATGAGGATTATCAGAAGTTTAAATCTCTTTCAAATATGATAGGTCTTACAGGTTATCCCATGCATGGTATCTACTGCAAACACCTTCTTACACATTGCTGCATATTAGATGTATCTGAACATCAATGGATGTGTGCAAGCTGGGGGAGGACTGGGTTAATCCTTATCACCAGTATATTGAGAGGCAGTGAATGAATGAATGAATGATAGCCCATGGCCTCAAGTATGTTATTGCTCACAGAGGGAGCATCACAGCACCATTGAGGCTGGAAGGGACCCCAGGAGGGCTGTAGTTCAATTTCCTGCTCCAAGCAGGGTTGAAACTGAATTCAGGCCAGGTTGCTCAGGGCTTTGTCCTGTGGAGTCATTAAAACCACCAAGGACAGAGATTTCACAGCCTCCCTGGCAGCCTGGCTCAGAGCTTGAATCTGGTTAGTTCGGGTTATAGCAATGGCCAACTTAGTACATGAACACAGAACGGGTGCATTAATGGTAATTATCTATGAACGTGTATTTTTAATTTTGTTGTTGCTTGAGCACATTTACAACCCTAATAATGCATTCATCTGCTTTGTTGCATTTAATATCAATTCTGATCTAATGTTTTTATTTCACCTAAAAGGATGTTAATTTTTGTATTAAACAAAACCTGTGCTGTTGATTAGCAGTATCTGGCAACTTTCTCCAACATGTGATTCATTTTATTTTAACACCTCATAGCAGAGTTCAGGAATGAAATTTTGGAGCTATTGCAGTCAATAGCAAAGCTTCACCGATTTCAGTGAGATCACAATGTTATTCCAGAAGTACCTCTAGTATCTTCATCAGTGCTTGCCAAAGGCTAACATTTGCTTAATCTAAGGTTAACATTTGTCCTGTGTATTTGTAGATCTTACTGTTTGTGTGGGGTTTTTTTGTTCACACTGTGAATTCAGTATTATTGTTATAATATCTCAGTTCGATGATGGCTTGACATTTTTCAAAACTGTTTGCTTTTAAATATTAAATGAGCCCTCTCTATACCCAAGAAGTATCAATGTAGACTTGGTTTCATAATACAGTTTTCCACTGCTTATTATTCGGCTAGCTTATTCAGTGCCCCCCCCCCCAACTTGGAACTTGCACGTCTTGCAGTAAAACAATATCACGACTTTCTTTGCAATTCCTTGGTGTTATTAAGACTGTCAGGAAGAGCAACCAAGTACCACATTACTTGTCACGTTAATGGAAAAACTCTCCATCTCACTCACTGGGCTAACATATGTATCCTGCCCTGTCAAGTCAGTGAAAATTGCAAAGCAAAACTATAAAGGTAAGAGTGTGTTTGAATTTCTCTTTAAGGAAATACCTGGCCTCTTGGTGCTGCAATTTATCTTCTGAAATACAAAACTATTCATAGCATACACATAGATTACAGCAGGCTTTAGTCATAATTTACGTGGCTGCTAATGAGTTCCATATATAATTTTAGGCCCGCTCACTTGTTATATTGTAAATCAAAGGTAAAATCACAGTCCCTGCCTTTTTGAAGATTTATGGCATTATTCAAATGTTACCACAGGCTAGAAAAGTAGATCTTAGCTGAGTATCACCAACTTTGTTCAACTAAAGTGTATTTCTCTTCCTAGTGACATTATTAGAAAAATGTACGACGCATGTTGAATATACAAGTAGAGAAAAACTAATAACTTACAACCGCCTTCTGATAGCTGTAGTGGGGGAAAAAAAAAAGAAAAAAAAAGAAAAAAAAGGCATATGTTTCATATTTTGGACCTGCTTCTGTTCTCCTGAACACAAAAATCCTTAGACCATTTTCTTATGTAGGAACGAGACAAAAATGGTATTTTGTTCTTCTGGTTTAAAGTAGCATTTAAAGAACCGAATGAGTCCCGAGACAATTTCAAATGTGCTAAGAGCCATTAGCCCTTTGATAAAAGACAAAGCTGTTGAGGAAATGGATTCCTGAATACTGTTTTCAATAATTGGTTCTTACAGTCCACATATATTCACGAGGGATGTAATGAGACTATTGAATATACAAAATATAGAATGTGTAATGTGTTGGTGGTTGTTTGCTGGTGTTGCATTTCTAAAAATGTACAAGCTATGCTGAAAAGCAGCCAAAAATAAAATATGCATAGATAAGCATACAAATACAAGTACATAGTTGAAACTCCCTTCTTTTTTACCAAGAGTAAAACTGTATTAAATAACAGTCTTAGCCTGAGAAGAAATCCATCAGAAACAGTGTGATGGTGTCCTACAGTCATTACATCTCTCTTCCAGTTTGATATTCATGCCAACAAAGTCATGGGCTTTCTCAGTCTCTGTTTGGGGAACTCGTGTGGCAACTGGGACTCAAATTTCACCTTTCCTTTGGTCTGCTAACATGCACAGAAGCTCTATGATGCTAATTCTGCCTTCAGCGTCTCCTGAGAGATTCGAAGAAGCCCTCGAGTTTCATCTTTGTACCCTCCATCAATCGTACCTAGGTTCATTTTTAATGGGTCACGAGGTAATAAAGCTGTATCAAAGTGCAAAAGACAAGCATTGTACTGAGACTGTGCATGACACATGCTTTCCCTTTACTAAACACTGACGAGACCTGCATTGAAGTGCTATGTCCAGTTCTGGGCACTGTCCTTCAGGAAAGATGTGGAATGATTGAAGGAGTCTAGAAGAGAGCACCAGTAGTGACTAAGGTCCAGAACACAGACAGATTTAAACAAAAACAAAAACAAAAAAAAAAAAAAAAAAAAACAAAAAAAAAAAAAAACCAAAAAAAAAACCAAAAAAAAAAGATTGAAAAACTGAAGTTGTTTAGGCTAAGAAAAACAAGACAGAGTCACGTATGATAATACTTTTCAAATACATCAAAAGCTTTACATTGCACAGAGAAAGAAATAGTCTGCTCTTACTTACTTTGGCTAGGACAGGAAGTAATGGGAGTAGATTGAAGCAAGAGCTGACTTAGAACAGATACGAAGAACTTCTTAACAGTGAGGATAATTAATGAAAAAGATTGCCTGGAGGGGCAATCCGTGGAGTCCCAGTCAATGACCTTCAAGAACAGGTTAGGCATCTG